GTAGCACGAAACGGAAGGCCGTGTGGTCGAATCCATCAACGTACGTATTAGCACCGGCGACGATCTGATGGGCGATTGGTGCGTTGATGTAGCTCGACTCGCCATAATCATTCCCTACTCTGGTTAGTTGTGCTTTGCGCGCTAAGGTGCGTGTATAGGTTGTACAAGGGGCAAAGACGTACAAGTGATGATCTCGATGTACTCGGGCATAATGTCCAGAACCTGCTTCCAACGGTCGAACCACAGTGAATCGCTGGATGAGTACCAGTTCTTACCAGGTAGATCTAATATCCGAACTCATTAGCTGGCAAACCTACCCAAGGAGACACAGAGATCCATGACATACTCGTGTAGAAATAGGGGCTAACACCCATCATGTATGGTTTGCCCTGAAGCACAGATTTATATGCGACGTCGTTACCCGTCGACATGGTATACTGGTTTGCCTCGGGCCATGCACCCCAGTTGACTGTGGCGTGTCAGATCCGTGCTAAATCTTTGCCTATGGGGGCCAGATATCAGGGCACTCACAAGCGCCATCAATGAGAGAAAGCATGTTTCCCACGCCCTGGGCACCGAGAGAGGCCCAGTCGGGGATGAAGAAAATACCGCCGGTTGCCGCGCGGACGCCAGGCCAGATGCCGGAGGACGAAGGGCCCTCAAAAGTCGAGACCACGGGCAGATTATTCACCTTGAGCTGACTGCCGTACCCCTTGTAGGTGTTGATGTAGGAGCTAATCATGTCTGCCGTCCATACCGAAGCCTGCATATCGAAAGAGAGGAACATCACGAAGCCATTGGACGACGCCACATCTGCCCAGATTAAGAGTCAGTAACCGCCATAGCGAGCAAAAATTTCAGTGGCTCTGGCAGCGACATGAGTAAGGACTCCCTTGATAGGCGGTCTTACCCCTGGAGCCGTACTGAACGGGAAGATAAAACCGTTTAAATACAACATACCATACGCTAGATGAAGCTGATCGTCATTGTAGCTGTCTTGGGACCCAATATTCAGGGCGAAGCCATCAATGCCTGACGCTTTGGCCTGGGAGATATCTAGCTGCCACTCGTCGCGTGTCTGTCCGCTGGTGAGGCCAACGATGTAATGAGCAAAGACCTGCCGATCGGCGGCCGCCTTTGCGCACAACGCGGCGAACGAAAGAACTAGCTTGACCAGCATACTGGCTACCGGCTGCTCCAGCTGTGCTGCGTTTTAAGATAGAGCCCACTGAGTGAAAACGAAGGACGATGGCAGACAACCGTGGGGGGCCGATGGTATTTTCTGTATCCGTGACTGCATCCGGGGCGAGCATGCGAATATATAAGATCCCACCATCCTACAGACCTAGCTGTAATTGTATGTACGTCGGTCCCGGGCATTTTCTCCTGAGTCAATCTAATAATACATCGGCCCCCATCGTGACCATGGGCCGGGGCAGAAACGTGCAATGGTCTTGTTCCCGTTCGGTAGTCGGGGTGATCAACACAGGCCTAGACAGGGGGAGGCGGATCTGTTCCTGTCGTGCGACTTGCCTATTTCGTGTCGACAGATCACCGGCCATTGGGGGATTTCAAACCACTAAGCCCGGTAGCGCGTGGAAAGGCCGAAAGCTAGGCCGCCAACAAAGCAGATGTGCTGAATACCTACCTAAGTAGGCATCAAATGGTAGGTAAGCCTATGTAAGAAGCCAAGGCACGCATGAGGTCGTAATGATTACTTATGTATACGTACAGGTGCCTCAAGTACTATTGAATTAAGGTAAGAGGTAAACAGCTTCCATACCCGGGTATCTACTTAATTAATCCATAGAGTCCTACTCGTTTCAGGTGTAATTACCAGGTAGCATCTTCGGCGTTTAACAGTTCATTGAAGCATAAAATCAAGTACCATCGATTTATATTTACACCGCAGTCCCACTGGGCGTATTGAGGCTTCATGTGCCACAGTACTTCGTAGCCTTCCGCTTTATGTGCTTCGAGTCTCTGGCCATGGAACTTCGTCTTTGCCGGTTATAGTGAAGCTGGCTTAGTAGAGAAACAGCCTGACGCGAACCTCGGCCGTACCTGAGCTAAGCTGGCAGAACGCAGATTTCGCAACGTTGAAGTAAGAAGAGCAGAACAGGAGACATTGAAAATGGTTAGTTTGCGGTCCCATTGGGGGTTAAGTGAGTGCTGGGATATCTGAAACGCTGCGCCAATATGGGCCCACGCGTTAATGGGCGCGAAGGATGGGATTGTGACTGCGTGGTGCGCCCTTGTGGCACGTTGCACGATGCATCCTGTCTTCCTAGCAGCAAATTAAAAAATGACTTCATGATGGCATCAGTAAAAAACCTCGGCTTTTCTTGCAGTATCTTTCTGGATCTGGAAAAATTGGTTAGTTTTTTTTTTTTTTGAGGGTTATTCCCTGACCGCTCTGCTCACTACCATGTTAACGACTGACTGACTATCTCCATATGTAAGCCTAATGCGAGCATAATGCTTAATACCGCGAGTTGTTGCCCGCTTAGTTAGATCCAGCTTATATGAGCTTTATGTTGGCGTCATCACCACGAAGCAAAATTGCTGACTAAGTTGTCTGAACCCACAGGTGGCGCTGTTATCCTTGGATAAAGGGCATCTTCGTTGTTTCTATATCTTATATCCGGCAGATCGCCTGCTAGGATACCTCTGTTCTTTTATGGTTGTCTTTTCGCTGTCGCTGATAACACGGGAGATCTGCGCCCGCAGCAGATGTTCGTTTTACGTACTCCAAGGCCCAGCCACATGGGCACGCGCCCGGATAACAATAGATGGAAATGAGGCACATTCAGATATTCTAGCCTCAATTGATTCCCGATGGCTACGAGGCGTACTCTTGTGTCTATTGGCTACCAGAGACACGCCCCTTGCTATGCTCTGCGCAGGACTGCCTCCGTTTGGCCCCTTTTTGCCTATAACGGGAGTCGGGCCACCCTGGAGGGAGTCTCGGGCCTGTGCCTGAACAACCATCCACCTACCTGGTACAGATCGTTAATCACTGGCACGTCTGGCTATCTATAAGACTACTTCAGTCATTAGACCATACAGGATGTAGCCAGTCCGTGTCGTCTTCCTCGTGCTGGGAGGCTGGTGTTATGTCCTCACCAACCATTTCTCGAAACTCAAACTAGCTGTCATCATGTTGCTGCAGGTGTTGCTGCTGCCGATTCTCACCTTCGCCTCCACTGTGTCTGCCGCTTTTGGATATACAAAATCCGGCAATAACTATGTGATCGACGCTGGGTCAGCCGACTCGCTCGTCTTCACAGTCAGCAGTGCCAATTGCGACATCACGTCGATCAAATACCGTAGTATAGAGCTTCAGGGTCAGACCAAGGGTTCTCATATCTCCTCGGGACTCGGTTCCGCCACCGTCAGCGTGACCCAAATTGCTGGTAGTAAGTTGCTTTAAGCCCTAATATGCTTTTTGGCTGGCGCCGGAATGACGAACCTCAACAGGCGCGAATAGCTACGTCAAGGTGACATGTGTGACGTCGACTCTAACCCACTACATGGTGGTGAGGAACGGAGACAGCACCATCTTTATGGCCACCTACATCACGGCCGAACCGACTATAGGTGAGCTACGCTTCATCGCCCGGCTGAAGTCGTCACAGCTACCTAACGAGTATCCTTACGGCGTTGTGTCGACGACCGCGGGCTCCAGCGCCGCGGTTGAAGGCTCCGACGTCTATCTCGTTGGCGGTCAGACGCGCTCCAAGTTCTACTCGAGTACGCGATTCATCGATAAAGATGCGCAGTGCGTGTATGGTGGCTCGGATGTGATACACGCCTGTATGCTGGCACCGCAGCCCGAGTCATCCTCCGGCGGTCCCTTCTTTCGCGATATCGAGTCCAATAACGCCGGTGATGATACCAATCTTTACTGGTACATGAACAGCGGCCACGTCCAGACCGAGGCATACAGGACTAACGTCTTGCACGGACCTTACATGCTTACCTTCTCGCGGTCTAGCGTTCCCTCGGCCAAGAGTGCCGACTTCTCCTTCTTCTCCGAGCTCGCCGTCACAGGTTTCGTCCCGACTTCATCGCGAGGTTACGTGTCGGGAACTGCGTCGGGCGTCCCTAATAGCTTCCAGATTGTCGTGCACTGGTACAACTCGGTTGCACAGTATTGGACCATCGCCTCTGCCAATGGCGCATTCTCCTCTCCCCCGATGAAGCCTGGCACTTACACCATGGTTCTGTACCAGGGCGAGTACAAAGTAGCTACCGTGACGGGCGTCAGCGTCAGCGCGGGCCAGACGACGTCGAAAAACATTGCCAGCACCCTGGCCAGCCACACTTCGCTCTGGAAGATCGGCGAGTACGACGGCCAGCCCACGGGCTTTCTCAATGCGGATAAATTCCTCCGCATGCACCCATCGGACAGTCGTATGAGCGCCTGGACGCCGGCCACCTACACAATCGGTTCCTCGTCGATTGGGCAGTTCCCCATGGCGCTGTTCAAGAGCATAAACAGCCCGGTGACGATCAAATTCAACCTCGCCTCCGCGCCGGGGGCGGCGACGCTTCGCATTGCTACCACTTTGTCCTTCGCCGGCTCTCGGCCCCAGGCCAAGGTCAACTCCTGGTCAGGCCCTGCCCCCGGTGCACCTAACAAGATCGATAGCCGTGGAGTCACCCGTGGTGCTTATCGAGGATATGGCGAGGTGTACGACGTTAGCATCCCCGCCGGCACTCTGGTTGCCGGGTCCAACACTATCACCATCAGCTCCATCTCTGGCAGCAGTGGTACTACATTTCTCAGCCCGAATATTGTATGTGACACCCGTGGATCTTCGCTTCGCATGATTCGGCTTGCTAATGTCTAACTCGAACACAGATATTTGATTGTATTGAACTCTTCACTTAAGTTATAAACGTGCAATAGAGCAATAGAAGCATGCCTAGCCAATCGTCTGCTGTATCTGAACAACGGTGAAGTGGTACGAGGTAACAGTTTTCAAAAAAGTAATCGACATGTGCAGGATTTGAACCTACGCGACCGAAGTCATGAGATGGCTTCATTCAAGCTGAATTCAAGTCTCACCCATTAACCACTCTGGCAACATGCCTTGAATAAAAGATACGCTCTCGATCGGGGAATCGAACCCCGGCCACCTGCGGCTTGTTACCATTGACAAGCAGGTATCCTAACCACTAGACCAATCAAGAAGTATTTATCCACCGTGGACTGGCCGAAGCCAGCTGATTAGCAATTTTCAGTCGATGATAGAAAGCGAATGGAACATTTAAGATAATACGCCGTCACTCACGACTGAATTGCCAATATTGCCTCGTGATTGTAGTACAGCCACGCTGCGTGGTTATTGGCCATTTACCTGGCGAATACTCTCTGACCTAAACGGCTGAATAATATGGATAGCCCCATTATGCTCATGGCCTCTGCCACCTGACTTTCCCATCTCCTTTTCAATGTCCTCCAACTCCTAGATCGGCCCGGACTACTATGTGATCTAAAGCCATATTTACATACTTGAATGTTTAACCCAAGCAAACCCCCTTACCTCCGATGCGACTGATCATAGGGTGGAATGAGAAACACGAGCAAACGTATCCCTGGCAGCCTCGAGAGGAGACTCAGGCGCGCTCGGCCATCTCGCAGCGATGTATCCGTCCGGCCGCACGAGCGCAGCGCCGCTGGCATTTTCCAAACCGAAGGCCTTCGCGAAGGTTCCCCTCTCGGCTTCTAACACGTCCTGGCCTATTTGGATGAATCGGTACTCAGGGCTTCGCCACTTGCTGTCTTCAGAGAGCACCACCCAGCCCTGACCAAACAGGTCAAGCGTCGAGATCCCGCTGTCGTCTCCGGGGCGTTTGAGCGGGACGTGCGGTGCGCGGGTGCCAGGCTGGCCAGCCCATTGCGCTGGCGTCCGCGCGTCCGGAAGGTCGCCATCCTCGGAGCCCAGAACTGCCGTCGAGCGGTACAACTGGCCAAGCTCCATGGCCACATCGCCGATGACGGCGACGGGCCCGCTGTTCTTCGCCCAGTCCGAGCCCTCGGCAAACGCTTTATAGTCGTCGCGCGCAAAGATCTGGTCGTGGCGAACGAGGGCCACAGGTCTCCGTTCTGCATCGTAAGTTTCCAATAAGGAGGGTTTCGACGTCCGCGATAGCACAGCCGCCAGCTTCCACGCCAGATTGTGCACATCGGCGATCCCTGTGTTGGCCCCCCAGCCGCCACGGCTTGGTGGCAGCGCATCTTCAGAGACCAGGAGTCAGTGTTTGCTATTCATGGCAAAGGCCTCAGGGTTTTCGGGTGCATGGGGGGACACATAGGAGCAGGGAAATGACTGCTCCCCAAACCCGTCAAGAGGAAAACCACAAGATTTTAGAAATCACTTACGGGCAGCATCGCCGGCGAGGAACACGCGGCCGGACGAGAACGAATCCGCAACGGTGGCGCTGAGGTCCCACTTTCCTTGCGAGAGCAACTGGATGTCTGTCAGCTTCTCTCCGATCGCCTTCTGGATGTATGCTTTCTGCCCATCCTCATCGAGGGCATCCTGAGCCGCATCGTACGACATCAGCGCCCAGCGGCCGTCCGAGTACGTCACCAAGAAGGCCTCGATGTCGTCGTTCTTGATGGACCACTGGTGGATGCCGCGCGACAGGTAGTGATCGATGCTGGGACACCGGAACAGGATACTGCGGAGCGTGCGCAGGTAACCGACACCATGGCCCCCAATGCCTAGGTCCTTGCGAACACCACTGCGGGCTCCGTCGCAGGCAATCAGATACTCGCCGTCCACGGTAAACTCTGTGCCGTCGGCTTTGGTAGCGGTGACGGACACGCTATCCTCGCTCTGCGACCACGAGACCACCGTGCAGCCCAAGCGGAGGTCGCCGCCCATCTCGAGCACTCTGTTGCGTATGATGGGCTCCAACTCATCCTGTGCTAGACCCGCATCACAAACAGGCGAAAAGCTGCCCGTACCGGCAGAGAGCGGAGATCCCCTCCGCGCCGCACCTGCATCGTTGGAGCCGGCCTCATCGGTGTTCGGCTTTGTCCAGTGGATCTCCTCGGACCACTCGCCGTTCAGTGTCTTGGTGGTCACGCGTCGCGGCTTACCCCCGCGGGGTCCTTCTTTGGGTACGGGGATCGCCGAGTCCAGGCCTACCGAGCGGAAGAGCTCCATGGTGCGGTACGTCCAGCCAATTGCTCGCGGATGCGGCGAGCTCGTTTGATGCCGCTCGAGCAGGACGAAAGGAACACGCTGGGCGGCGAGAAATAGTGCGCTAGAGAGCCCAACGATCTATTTTATAACAGAGTCAGCAGCCGCCATACTCAGCGAAGGGTGCAGTGATTTGCAGGAGTATGTAGGAGTAAAGAAGGGCACAAATTTCCTCGATAGGCGAGTTTGCTCCAGGGATTCTACTGGAAGGAGAAACAATAGTCATTTGAAGTTACATACGCTCCCGCCGATGATTATAACTGATGTGTGTAGAGAGGCTGCCATGTTGAGTTGAGCCGGTTCAAGAATAGCTGAGTATTGTTCACTTGATCGAGAATGATGCTTCGTGATAGTGCGATTTAGTTTGTAGATGTATCTTGAGACTGAAAGACAGGTCGGTATGCACCTCACTCATTCCTTTTGGCCCTCTCGGAGGAGGCAGTCATCCTTATATGTGCCATTATAACAACAGTATATCGTACGGTGGCATGTTAGAGCTATAGATCGGAGGTGTAATTCGAAGATCGGCGCCGAAAGGCATTGAAATGTTTTAAGCAACTCTAAACTTGAGCTGTTGAGGTTCATAGTCTCGGGAGAAACTAAGATCCGAGGCTGGGATAGTTAGACGCGAACAACTTGAATTTCCAATCCTTTCTCTCTCTTGATGATTCAGGAGATATAAGCACAGGATCACGATCAGCGGACTTTTAGGTCAGCATACGATAGAAAAGAAACTCAAGACAGAAACCATATGTTTTCTAATCAAAAAAGTTATTCGCTAAGTTTATTTTCATTTCTAGCCTTTGTATAGATGGGAGTTTTGTCAAGACTATGTACGTAGGTAGTTCCATGCACTGAGGCTTCAATGTATTCCGTCGGTGCTGAGCTCGGGACCGAGACAAGAGCTGATTTCCCGACGGTATCGAATCTCGGCCTGTAATACCGAGAAATTATGTCATCGGACTTATAAAACCGCGAATATCATCAAAAACGTCAATGTTCATCACCCGAGATAGTCTCTGAATATGATCCTTCGAATTGTAAGTCTGAGCAACTGTTCTACCACCTTTCTATTCGAGTCCTTCAGTGGCTGGATGGCGACTATGATGGTGATTATGATTATGGTGGTGATGAGTGGCAGCGGTCAAAACGGCTTAGCCGCTACCGTCTGTAATATATGACCATGCCAGAGCACACAAAGCGACGCCGACCAAGTATAACCACCACACCAGGCCAATAACCCCCTCCTCCATCCCGAGGGCAAACACGTAACCCCCCACAGCTGGACCGACCGTGCGCGCAAGACTGGCAAGCATGTTTCCCGCCCCATGAATCGTGCCCAGCACCGTCTTGGCGGGAGCGGCCTCCGTGAGCAGGATCACGGTGCTGGGGATCGCCATCGTGCGCGCCATGATCTGGGCACACACTATGAGTCCGAGGAACACCCACCGCGCGTCATGATCGCCCACGAGCAGTGAGAGATACGGCGCCGCTACATACGTTACGGGGAAGAGGAACAGGGCGATGCGGAACACGCCTCGCGTGCCGATGCGTTTCTGGAGACGCGGGTAGATGAAGAGCTGCAAGAGGATCCCTCCCACGCCGAACGTCGACAGCCAGATTCCGATGGTTGCCGATCGCAGGCCGAGACCACCAGAGAAGGCGAAGAACGTCGCCTCGCTGTTGTCTGCCGGAGGGCTGCTCAGATATACGGGAAAGATATGCATGAAGGCCGAGTTGTGAAGAGGTAGGAGTCCGAACGATACCAGCGCAGATATAACTTTGCGTGTCCAGATCTTGCGGAAGGGCATCTCCAAGCTTTTGGCAGTGGTCGGAGAAGTTTCTGTCTTCTCCGGGCCGGGTTGGCTATCATTCAGTAGAGCTGCGTCCTCGCTGCTTTCCATGATACCGTACTTATGAAATTCTCGTCCTCTGTTCCATAGGCGGGATATCAACCTCCAAGCTGCCGCCCCTGCTTGCAAACCCCAGTCACTGTGCTCTTCTTTGCTCGGGAGAGTTTCTTTCAGGCCCATCACGGCGAGCATCAACGAGGTCCCTAAGAAGAAAGCGTTCAAGAGTGCTGGTAGTGCGTAAGGATACTCTAGCGCCCACGCTACACCGTTCGGGTTACGACTCAGATTCAGTATGCCATTGGGGCCGAACAGCCCTGGTAGGTTGACCACCGGTTCCGCCAAACATCCACCTAACGCCAAACTAGCCACCATTCCAGAGTTGAAAACCAATGGTAGGAGGAGGAACGCTTTGGTCTGATACCTACGTTCTCTCACGATCTCGGCCGTCACCGTTCTCATGATACTCACGTTGCCGTTCGCCAAACCCGCGACCACCCTCCAGAACATGAGCGCAGGGAAAGACCTGGAAAGCCCGAACGCGATGTTCGCGAGTACTGAGATGAACAGCCCTCCTAGTATCGAAAATCTCCTTCCGTGCTTATCGGATAGTCGACCCCAGGGGAGACTCACGACACACTGCGCCAGGGGGAATGCCGCCACGAGGATCCCAGAATATTCGGAAACGCGAGCAGCCGCTTCATTGGTTGAGTCTGCATCGCCAGGTGTAGGCTTGGGCAACACCGAGCGCACGAGATAGAAGATGTAGGGCAATAGACACACGTTGGATAGCGGCTCGGATAATCGACAGAGAGCTAGTATAAAGAGTTGATCTTTGCAAGGTAGATCTCGCCACCGAACGTCAGGAATCCCTTTCTCCGGGGCAGCTTCTGGAGGCCGAGACGTCTCACATTCCGCATCCGTTATCGACGATATTGTAAAACCTCTTCTCTCGCTAACTAGTGAGTGGTAATATAGATGCATCATTAGCTTTTGATCTTTCTTCCTGTAGTCATCGTACTACTCGTGGCTCATAACTCAAACCATCTACGAATGAAGGGTTACATACCGTCAGTTGAGCACGATGCCTCGCTCATCCCAGTAATATCCTGAACCATGTTGAGACTCT